CTCCATCAACATTTACGTATTCGTCATGCTCTTTGTCGAAATATATGGAGTTGAATTAATCACGCTTGAGTAGCGCACCAAATTCTGTCTCCTCCGGCTCCCATTCTTTCGGGGGCACGCTTCTTCTCTGCAGAATTTGAGACATTTACTAGAATCATATGCCTAGCGTTAAAATGAGAAGCAGATCAAAGAAAGAAAGTAGTAATACACTGAAATCTGAAAATAAAAAACTATACAATTTCGGTCACTAGTAGTAAACAAATTTAGTTTTATTTTCTAATGCCAAAACTGATGAAAAGTCTTGAGAAGACTAGAAGTACGGCGGAGTTACTAGACGCAATATCTTTTTGCAACCTCTAGCTTCCCATCTTTTTAAATTAGGAAAAATACTACAATGACACACAGTTCTTACAGTATCTGCGTCGTAGAAATTTACTTTTTATCAAATCTTTTAGGCAGGAGATGAAATAGTTGAGGATGTTATGCAGTTGAAGCCGTCTCATCCTGAGCCAATTTCCCAGCCCTCCCGTCTTGGTAAACTTATATGAGAATTGTCAATGATTATTTCATCGGAATGAAGACCAACGATTTCATAGGAGTAACATCGTGGAAACTCTAGAGAATCAATTCGAGATTCCTGAAAGATTTATCTAACCTAACATTCAATATACTTCTAAAGAAGTCAAAATATTCGAGTGACAAGAGAATCTACACGTAAATCCTCAAACTGCGTACATTTCTTAGAATCTTACTTTGTTATCACCACTACTTGAGCTAAGTTCTTCCGTAGGACGATATTCTGGTTTAAAATTCGCTTTTCTTCAGTAGGCTACTTCGCTCCTCCTCCAACAACTATATGTGGTGCCGTCGTTCATCGAAACGTTTTTTGAAATCAACAATTTGGGGGCAAATCTTGAAGTACCTAGTGTAATTATAGCTCGATAAAATGATCCATTTGGTTTGGGGCTGCTTACTTCTTGTGCTTCCGTAATGGTCTTCTCAACCATTTCCCAATTTGCCTAAATTTCATTTCTTGAGCCACGCATCTCAGTGGTCTGTCAAGGAGGGCTGACCTAAGAGCCCGATACACGTGTTTTGATCTTGCGATCTCGTCAGTCGGGCAGTTACCCTTTCTCGTCTTTTGCTAATCTCTGTGGGTGCTCCAGTCTCCACATTAAGAGTCAGCTACGATGAACGTTTTACACTCTATGTCCAGTGAAATTCTCACCGAACAAAGAGTGTTGTACACTCGATTGTTCTTGGCCAATATATTCAATATATCATATCTTTCGTTTCGAGTGTTTTCTTAAGACCACTGCTCGAATTTCAATATGCCTGATAATCATTATTTGAGCCACGCATGTCAGTGGTCTATCAAAGAGACTTATGGAGCCCGACACTGGACTTAACTCCTATGAGTGTGCTTAAAGTTTTTTCAGTTGGATTAGTAACATGTTCACTGTTAAATAAATTAAGTTGAGAAAGTAGAGACGTAAACAGAAGTTTTCCGGTGTCTCCACCGTGCTTGAGCCCTTTAATAAAAACGTGTTTTTTTTTTACTCCGTAGAGCTCATAGTAATCATTCAATAGCTAAAATCAAGTAAATTTCAAAGACGTTTTTATTTTCTAAGAGGCCGGTTTTTTGCTCTCCAACAGTTGAACAAAATTTTGTTTCACGTTCAAATATTTCTCAAAGGATTGACCTTTTCTCAAAAGCAATCAATAATCATTAGATAAGGCGAATCGTAGCATTTTTAACAATGTAGATGATTGGTCGAAATAATTTCTGAAAGCTGCAACAGTCAGAAGATGATTCAATATGATTTTTTAGGAATGTTTGGAGTCTTATCCGAGGTTTGGTATGCCAGAGCCATACATGCGTGTTTCGGACGTCCTGTTCTTCTCGTCAGTGGTCCACGCACCTCGTTAATATCCGCACTGTAGCAAGGGGGGGGGGGGGGGGGGGGGGTGGAGCGGGAGGCGAATGTGGTGGCGACACCATGGACAATGACACTGTGCCATTACCACGTTTCGGTCCATTGTGTCGTCACCACATTCACCTCTTCCCTTGCTACAGTGCAAGTCTTAATGAGGGGCGTGGGCCACTGACGAGGAGGGCGAGACCTCTGAAACACGCGTGTATGACTCTGACATAAAAAATCTCGAGTAAGACTTTGAACATTTTTAAAAATTGTATTGAATGTTTAATGCGAGGTTTTTGAAGAGACTCGATACCTTGAGTCAGAAGATGATTAGGTGTCTCAAACTTGGATCGCTTTTGATGTTCACATACTGTGCTAGCTTTCTAAGAAAACCGCGTCCTTTGATATTTTTTTCAAAGTTTCAGAATCCATTTGATAACTAGCATTTCGACAATTTTTGTGGTATACTTTTTTATCAAAGCAAGATTCTTATTGCTCTCTAACAGTTAAAATGTTAATATCTTTCGCATTTCTCGCTAAACAAAGCTTTTTCGCTATACTTTTGGTAATCATACAAAAGTGCAAATCCAAAGAATTTCAAAGATATTCTCTGTTTTCAGGAAAAACTATTGAGAGCGTTGCAGCAGTCATAAGGAGATCGCGTTTCGCACATAGTCGATATATTGCAAAATAGGCAGAGTCTTAAGGTCAACGACGCAAAATTTCACCTTTTAGAGTGAAAAACCCAATCTTCTTTCGACTGGTACAGCGCTCCGAAAACTCGTTCTATAAAATGGTAATATTTTTCAAATCTTTGAGATTTGTACTATTGAATGGTTGTCAATGATTTATAGAGCAAGACATTATTTGGCAAAAAATCTTCAAATGTGAAACAACTTTTATTGCAACTGTTACAGAGCAAAAAAACGAGCCATTCAGAAAATAAAATACACCGTTCAGGTTCACTTGATTTTAAATTTCAAATGACAACTCAACATCGAAATAAGGAAAAAGTCGTTTCTTTCAGAGGAACCAAGCAGGATGCAGAAAACAGAAAAGTATAAGTCGCACTTCACTTCACACGCTCATAGACTTTGTGAGCTTGTACATATGCAAAGAAAACCTATAGTTTACTACGCAATCACAACCATAATCAGAAAAAAACCCGATTGCTTACAGGAGACAAATCTGGATCTTCGCCTTGGCTTGTCCATCGATGTTCACGATCGGAGCGACTAGTTGCGTTCTGCAGCGGCGGCAGTTGCTATGTAACTCCGAACGTGGAGCACAGTGGGCCTTACGAGTGGCCACTTGTTGTTGCGTGGTTAGTGAATAAAATGAGATCATGTTGCTTACTTTCATCTTTTATACAGATGATCTTATCAGCAATCACTTATCACACATTAGGACTTGTAGAGCTTTCCAAATCGGTCTATTTTAGATGATTCGGTGCATTGTCATTTTGTTTGTTGCTATGATAGTTTCAGTTCAGTCTAAAACCTCTTTGAAAATTTTGCTTGATGTTTTAATGAGAACGAACTAAAATTATTAATACATTCTCAAAGTATGATGTCTATGTACACCACTCTTGATGGGACACACTGGATCACATGACATCGGTGGATGTGATTTTTATTTCAAAAGGTTTTTTTTTTTGGCCACGACCTCACTCTATTTAGCTCATAACGGTTCCTCCTGATTACCAGAAAAAGAATAAAAAATCAATCTCATTCGCTTGAAAGGGACTTACCACAGGATTGCTAATAATTATTCAAAAGCTAAGACTCAAAATTACAGCTGCTTTTGGAAACGTCCCTTTAAGACGTTGTGACATTCAAAATGAAAAAAAAAATTTTTCTAAAATTATATGTTTTTTTTTCTTCCCTCGCTCAAGCTTTGTTGGACTTAACTCCTTCCCTAGAGTGCTAATGCTCAAACTATAGCACAAGTTTCAAAGAACTAAGAAATGTGTTTTTTGTTTGAAAAGCTTTTTTGATCTCTTGATCTCCTCTGATCTTCTGATTTGTGCTTTAAACTCATTAAACAGAACTCCTTCTTTAGTCTAATAGTAATCATCTGTTAGCGTGATATTTCCTCATTTTAGCGTTGTGCTTATTCTTTGTAAATACGGTTCAGCAGGGAAACTAAGACTGAGTTTCACATTTTTGGCAACGCTGTTTATCGGCTAATCGGCATGGCAAAGGCCGCGGCGGGGAGTGGCAAGACGAGGCGATGCGGGGCGATTGAAATATATTATTGTTCAATTGAGAGATTTTTCTCCGTTCTGGACGAAACGCCAGATGGAACGGCTGACTACGACGCTACGAATTTTCTGTACACACTGATACCTTTTAAGCTTCCAGCGATACGGACGATAAAAATCAAAGCGAAAGGCCAGTGTGAATTACAATTGCGATCTGGATTCTAAAGCGCTACGAAAAAAGTTTTGAAAAGGTTGGGCTGTATCCTCAAGTCTCAGCTTTCGAATAATTTCTAAAACTCCCGTGTTAAAATCCTCTCCAGCGAATGGGATCGGCATTTCATTTGTTCCATCCTGATCACGAAGAACCTGCGTAACATACATAAATCAAAAATTATCGACATATGCATGCATCTTTTTATTTAATCGTTATTCTAAACATTTATTCGAACTACACGGATTATTCGTCTGATTCTACTTTTTTTCACTATTTCATACTACAGCGATGACGTTGTGACATTTCGTCCCAGACAACGTTAGCTATTCGACTCTTTACGTCACTTTTTACTTTTTTGAAAAAAATTTTGAGAAAGGTACCTCATATGATAAAAGCAAAGCTCAGTACTCTATAACTTGACGATGTTTGAAGCTGGAATGTGATGAACGAGCACTCTGAATTAAACCTACGGATGAGGTCGTATCTGGAGCACGCCTTGCTAAGTTGTTATGGCAATCTATGTGATAGCCGCTGGTTAGGAAGAGGATCGATTAAATTTTATTCTTTATGTTAGCAATGAAAACTGAATTTGTATCGTCTCTAAGGCAGTAATATCATGTTACAGCAACCACTCAAATGTATAAAGTGATACGCAAAGGTTCGAACTCAGACAGGAGTTGAACCTACGTCTCACTCAGTCGAAGCGGCTCGTAATACCACTACACCACAGAAGCCATCGCCTTGATACTCTTTTCAGTAAGAAAGAATAAGGACAGGAAAATAATATAATCAAATAAGTTATTTATTTTGAACTGAAACATTATAATCAAATAAGTTATTTATTTTGAATAGCTGTCGGCGTGAGTGCGGTGTAATGCCGTATGTGACATATAATCAAACTCATTTAAACCTGGCTGCTGACTTCTGCAATATTATATAACGAATAAAGCGTGGTAATAAGAGGTAGCCTTGGTGACATAGCGGTAACACGCGCCCCTGGTATGAGTAAAACGCGTGCTCAAGTCTCCCTGAGGTCGAAGTTTGTGCGTACTACTCTATATCCTTGGTCGAAAACTGCATTGGTTTAGCGCATTGAAAGTGCTCGAGTGTGGGACACTTTCGGCTTGTGCTTACATTCATCCTTATAGTACCAAAAGATCGAAAGCTTATCATGGGTTCAAGCCATTACTGTGCTAGGCACGAATTGTTCATTCCATCTTCGATGCCTTTTCTTTCAGATTTCAGGCTTTGGGCCATATAAAGTTTATGCTGCGATGCCTATGGTTTTTTGAAGCGACACTCTAGAAATGCGTGCTCCGCGTGCTTTTTCTTTGTCTCATCTTTCAGTCCCGTGAACGTAGCATAAAAAGCAAACCTTCTGAAAAAGGAAAAGACAAGTAGAAACAGCAGCAGGAGACGATGGATGCTGATGCAGTAGAGACAGAAGATGGTATCTAATTGCGTCGTTCTTTTGTGTAATTCGTAAAAAGACATAATTTTTCAAAAGTGTGGATTTTTAGTCGACTCAGGTGAGCCTGATATCGTAAAATTTTTTGACAAAGAAGGGGAGAAAAGTTTATTCGGACAAGTTAATAATGCATTATTTGTTATACTCAATGAAATTGCGGTCATTAATACATTTCAGTCGCATGATACATGCTTCACAACACGTATCTTCAAGTGGGTACACACAATGTGAAGTGGTTTGTGATCAGCAAGACTTAGCAAAACAATATACCCTATTTAACTGAATATCGCAACTTCATACTCGATGTCGAATTGGGGTAGATATTATGCTTTAAATTGATGTTGAACCTCAAAAATTAAAGGGACTCTGAATGGGAGCTATTGGCAGTAGATTTGTTCCTCCATGTTTACTACGTATACACTGGTTTTTTGCATTAATCAAGATTTCCACAAGAAGGATTTAATACGTAGAACAAGCTTCTAAGCTTATCTATAGCTCGTATGTGATTTACATACTGCATTCCTTGTCTGGAGGGCATGTGACACAATGGCTTGATACATCGGTAGGCCACCGTGAGTCGTTGTAAAAAGTCATAGATGCATTCAGTCACCTCAGACGACGCTAGTTGATAAATGCTTAGCGTATGCCTTATGGTAAGCCGAGAGATTTATAGTTTAGTTTTATCTAATGTCCATATTCCTCTTATTCATTTATTTCAGGTTTATCCAAGAAATGCGCTGCTCACAATGTCCGGCCTATAACTGACGCACAACGTATTTTTTCGGTTAGTTCTTGACTGAATGTTCACGTGTCAGATCCTCTAACCCAAGAATTCTTCTCTATGGTATTACATTGAGGTCAAATGAAGTCCAGGTTCCGTAATGAATTCCGCAGCGTTGCAAGAGATGGCAGTAGTCTGTCATAGCTCGTAGGACATCGTCAATTTGTCAAACTTTTTCTTCTGACTTTCTTTCCAGCTGTGTTCCCACACTTTTGAAATACCTCCTGTAGGGCTTTTTTGAAGCTATTGTTTATCAACATTCGTTATAGCTATACTATGGTAGAATCTAGCTTGTATTTATTCCGACGACAACATCATTTCAAAGCAACTAAAGACAAGTTTTGAGTGAAAATGTTTGAAAGAAAATGCTCAATTGAAAGATGCCAAAAGTTTGCGGTTTTACTCACTTCTAGCCAATAAATTTGATGTTTATTGTATTTATTCCAGTACTTATGGAACGGCCCTGACATTTTGTGAGAAATTTCTCTTGTGCTCAATTTTATTACCTATGTATTGACTTCTCTTCTAAACCTTAATTAATTCCAGGTGATCTCTTGTATCGTCTATTCAAGACCAGCCTATTAGACATTCTGCTTAAATATGACACCCTCGTCTTCTGACATGTCAACATCACGCTTGTTACTTGGAAAGATCTAATGGTTAAGTTTATCCAAATCAGAGAGGGAAACAAAGAGTGTAAAACACCTCTGAGGTTGAAATTCAAATTTATTTGTTTTACATCAAAATTAGAGATATTGCGCATTACATCCATATCATTGGGTTGTACCATAACTTCATTTACACCATTGTTTAAACCTTTCGCATTGTTCACGGTATTATTTACATGATTAAATTTATATTTGCAAATCTCGGATTACGCGATACATTAGGAGAGAAAAAATTTGAGTCGTAGGATGACCAATTCTTCCTGATCAGCCTTGCAAATTGCTTCAAGATGTCTTAGCAACATTAGTCTTTGGTTTTTAGTTTTGTTAGACTTGACTGAATGCATATCTGCCCTTACAAATGACTCGTGGTGACATATCGCTGTATCGACTCAGTGCTGCTTATCCTCCCAGAAAGTCTGATACGAGTTTCGTACTCATTTATCGATCTCACAAATATGAGTGACTTCGTGATCCATGAGCACGCACTTGAATCATCGACCATAGGTGCGAAGCACAGCACTTATAACCACTGCGCCGTATGGGGCCATAGGATATGGTATACACATGTGGATAAAGGGATAAAGCTTTCGGCGTTGATCAATCTCTGAGGTATGCGCCATGTATCTGTCTTCAATTTTTAACTTCGTTTGAGGTGATTGAATGCATATTTGGCCTTTAAAATGACTCGCGATGACCTCCCGCTGAATAGAATCAGTGCTACTCATCCTCGCAGACAAGTCTGAGACCAGTCTGGTACCAATTAATTGACCGCGGAGGAATGGATGGTTTTCTCAACAATGAAAACGAGATCGAACCAGTGACCTCGTGTGCGACGCAGAGCACCTCTAACCACTGCGCCACCTGTGCCCTCAAATAAGAAATTATCTAAAAATTCCATAGATTAAAGCGACTGTGCTGAAAAATATTACTTATTTATTATCTGAGTAATTTTTAGTAATTTTATTGGTTCAGCAGTTTAGGGATATTTATTTATACTTGTTTTTTTTTTTCTTATTTTTGATTCTTTGTAATTCATACCTCATCTCTTCTGACACTATCTTGCATAGCTTCAAAAAACTATGTTTGACGTCAGAATTCTTGACTAAAAACGGTTTTCCCGGTATGAATATAAAAAGTAAAGACGAAGTAGAAAATGAAAATAGAAGTCAATTAAGAAGAGTAAGGACTAAGAAAGAGTAAGAAAGGAATTGAATGAAGAAAGAGGAGTAAGAGAAGATAAAGAAAAGTAAAATTTGATTCCTTCTGATCAAAAGGTAGCAAATGAAAAACCTATTTCATACGCTGAAGAGGAAATTTTCATAGGAGAGTTAGTAACCATACGAAACCTGAGACTTGTTGCTACATCTACACCTCATCGATTTTTCAAAAAATTCCCTTATGACATCAAAAGATTAAAAACAAAATCATGTTTCATAAAGCCACGTGTTCTTTTTCTGTCATATCTCGCTTATGTTCGCTGGACAAAACCTTTCTTCAGAGTGCTAGCACTCAAACTATTGCATATGCTTTAAAGGACTCAAAAATTTGTTTGCCTTTCGAAAAAGCTCTTTTGATCTTCTGATCTTCTCTGGTCTTTGATTTGTGCTTTGAACCTCGCTGAACACAGCTCCTTCTTTGATTATTAGTAATCATCCAATGGGGTGATGTTTTCTGAATTTGGTTATGTGCTTATTTTCTGAAAATATAATTTAGGAAAAAATATAAGATCGAGTTTCACATTTTTGGTAACGTTGTTTACAGCTACTCGTCAGAGGGAAGGTATTGGCAGGGGGCGTGGCAGAGGCGGAGCGAGGCGGGGCGACTGATAATTTGTTATTCAATTGAAATTTCTCCTCCGCACCGAAAGAAACTTTAAATAAGACGATCGGCTAAGATACTACGAAAATTCCTCCACATTCATATGCTTTCCGGTTTCCAGCGAATCATACGTGTGATGAAAATGAAGGCAAAGGGCGAATGTAAAACACAATTTTTGATGTGGAATGTTATAAAAAGGTGTTTCGAAAAATCGACAGCATGAGGAGGTAGTCTCAAGTCTCAGCTTTCGAGTTGTTACTAGCACCCCTATAAAAACTTTCTCTCCAACGAATGAGATTGGTGTTTCCTTTGCTCCCTTACAATTAGAAAGAACCTAGATTTCTTTGTTATTTAGTCTCTTTTAGCGCTAGTATGACGTTTCAAACGTATATCAAACAATATTGAATAATAAGCAAGAGTTTGCACGCCAGACGGAAGTTAAAGCCGCATTTTAATCTTTCCAAAGCGCGAGTTAACAGAACCTCGATAATGTACGTGGTTAGCTTGCGCGCTCTGGAATAAGAAAGGAATCGAGCCCGTGTTTCCGGGTTAATCAGAGAAATTTCAAAATATGCTTGGTTTTTGAAAAAAGCTATATTCTTGCGCCGCAGCAATGAAAATAGTATTGTGTTTCACATAGTTCGCACTCTACCACACGGATTTTTTTAATTATCTGTAAATTCTTCTCTTGAATGCGTAGAACTTCTAATGTTTTTTCGTATTAGAATTGTAGAAGGAAACTTGTTCTATCATTAAAGAGCTTAGCTTTTCCATTTTCGCTTTGCCATTGAGCCCGCTACGAAGCTCGACAAAGTAAGAGAAAATTTTGTAATGTGCAAAAATAAGTTAAGAAACCGGTTCAAACAACATATGGTGCTACGGCGAACAATCAAACTCATTGGCTCTTTGAGAACGGCCACCAGCTCATACTTGAACCGTGAACGCTCGGTGAACATGGACAACGGCGTAAGATATGGGTCTTGCCGAAATAGGAGAGATG